CTTTTGGTTTAGGCAAATCAGTTAAAAGTGGGACTAAATGTTGCATGGTTGAGGGATAGCATTAGCCCTTTTATACAGTGTTGGCACTCAATGATTACTGTAAGTGATAAAATTGTTTAAGCAAAATAACAATGACAGGCTAGCCAGCTAAACGTTGACATTGACAATTCAACTAAGGAATAATTGAAGCCCTCATGATCTGAGTCATTTATTCTTTCCCACATTCGAATTTCAGTTTGTGTCTGGTCAGCCATGAACATGTCAAGGATTTAAGTATGTCAGTATGTTGTCCTTCGTGTTGGCCAACCGAACATATGTTTTTTTATGTTTTCCACAGGTCCAATAATTGAATTAATTTGAGTTTCCGGGTTGAGTTTTTAAGTTAATAGATCGATAAATGCATTTAACTGAGTTGAATAACGTATACCATTTTTATTTTATTTTATTTTATGGAAAAATGGTAGTTTGGAGTTTTCATTCGTTTCTAATATAATATAACTAGTACAATACACGTGTCTTACACGAGTGCTTGTTAAGAAATTTAAATTTTCAAAAAAAAAATATATATATATATATTTTAATTTTCAAATATTTTTTAAAAAAATTATATTTTATTTATATTTAAATTGACACACGTCACTTATACGGCTTAACATCTTATATTATAATATTTTTTTAACTTATACCATATAACTAATTTATAATTAAATTATTTTAAATGGTTTTTTAGTTAATATTAATATATAATTAAATATTTTTATACAGATAAATATAATTATTTATTTATTTCTATCTACAATACAGATGTCAAATCGAATATCATCAACACATGATTAATTTAATATATTATATATAAAATATTGATAATAAATAAAAAACTATTAGCTTTTAAATACATTTATAATTTATGTTAGTAAATTTTTTATGATTATGAAAGAAAGATGAAGTAAAAATAAAGATTAGAGAAAAAAAAATGCCTTATAAACCCGTAGAATATGAAATAATATTAAAACTTAATTGATGCTCTTAAAAATGATTGTAAATATAGTAAATTTTTTATAATTATGAAAGAAAGATGAAGAAAAAATAAAGATTAGAGAAAAAAATGCCTTACAAAACCGTAGAATATGAAATAATATTAAACGTTAAAACTTAATTGATGCTCTTAAAACTGATCATAAATATCCAGTATATATATGCATATTCCAAGCATAGTTATTTTTTTATTGAAAATAAATTAAAATTCATCCGAGCCCAATGAAAAAAAATAAAAATTTGCCACATAGGATTTCGGAGCGTGCGAGCCTGCCACTTGGGCTCAGCGCATTCGCGATTTATATATATATATATATAAATCATGGATGCCAATATAGCAAATAAATAGTATTATTATTGTCAAATATATGTATTTGACAACTAACTAAGAGTAAATTAGTCATTATAAATAATACCAACTCATCTAGTGGGACCCACATCCACTATCCACTCACTCACCCATCGTCACCTACCACATCCCCCCTCTCTCACACACATCACGCACTCACTTTATCACCTACCCCTTCCCACTCTCTCACACACAACACACACTCAATTTACAGAAACACACACACGCACTCGCTGGTCGCCGCCACCATACGACTTCACACCGGCGACCACCCAACGCCGACCGCTGCCACATACCACACCGCTGGTAAGATCCGTCGCTCCCGTCGTTAGTCACCAGTTGTATCGACATTGTCATCACCTTTCTACGACATTGCTGGAGGTCCACCCCGATAATATGCCCCCTGCCGGAATCAACTCTGCCACTGCAAGCGGCCTCTTGTCGTTGTCCTCCATATCCATTTACAACCAGCCTCCTGCCTGTCGGCTGAGAATCAATCGAAAAAAAAAAAAGGTTAGAGAAAAGTCGTCCTTCAACTTCAGTCCGCCACGCCGTCCGCGTTCTCCGAAAAATCTCTAACTCTGGCAACGATTGCTTTTTTCTCGTCGGCAGCGTCTGCCACACCGTCTGCGTTCTACGAAAAATCTCCAACTTTGGCAACGATTACTTTTTTCTCGTCGGCAACCTTTCTGTCTTATCTGACCCTAGCATTCAAGTTGATAAATTCTGGCGAAGTTGATACTATAGTATGGTGTCCGGCGAGGATGACACTTCATCCCATCCCCGACACCATCTTCGACGTCTGACGCTAGCGTGCTGGGGGAGAAAAAGCACCGAGAACAATTTTTAGTATAGGGACTTTGATGTGGGATAACCATACCTGGTCGACTGGACCAGAAAAGCAACCAGACCACACCGGCCTGATCACCATGTGGAAGGGAGAGAGAGAATAGCTCAGGTCGGAAGACAATCTAGTCGAAAAAAGTATTAGAGGATTGGAATAGCAAAGAGGTCAGATCGGTCAAAGGTCAAAGAGAAGGAGGAGCTGGTCGAGCGATCGACCAGAGAGACAGGACGACGAGGCTTGTGGCCGACAACATTTTTACTTAAAGACAATTGGGGTCGAGTCCATGATCGAGACACCTAATGAATAGAGCTTAGAGATAAGATGTGTTTGTCCTATTTTTGTGTCTTTATTTCATGTTTATTTCCTTTTTGTTTTCCCCATTTGTAGGTTTTTCATAGCATATTTGGTCCATTTCGTTGGTTTTTTGTGTTGATGGACGTTTCTGATCAACGGTCAAAGAAATAAGAAAAAAAAATAAGAAATGGAGAAAAGACAAGAAAAGAGGTTTAATTATGATTTTATTAATTGATCACGAGGTCGGCCTCTCGTACGAGGTCGGTACTTGCTATACATTTACAAATTCTTACACAAATTCCTTACAAGTTTAGAGAGAAAATGTAGAGAGAGTTAGGACAGTTGGGATTCAACCACCCAAAATAAATGTTTAGGGCTTCTATTTATAGGGTTCTTAAATGTGGTACTGTTCGGGTACTGTTCACGGGTCCTGTCGTACAGTAACTCGGCAAGACAGGCCGGCGTTTCTCTGACTGATTGGGAGTGATTTTGGGATTCTCCAATCATTACCTGCAACACATTTAATGTTGGTATGGGCTGCATTTAATGCGGACATGTTCCTCGGCCGGGCTAGACGTCCTAGACCAACAGGCTAGTCTGGGATGTCCCATCGGCAATCATTGGTTGACAAGTGGCCTTATTTAATTGCTTCCTGGATCCTTAACCCCTACGGGGGCCAAGCTGGTAGGATCCCGAGCCGGGCTATGACAGTCTAATGGCTCCATAATGGGAGCACCGAGGTGCCGACCTTAGGGTATGACGCTGTCCGCCACTCCAGTTGACTTTGACTAATCCTCAGATCGGCACCTGCTAATTGACGTGGTAACCGGCCCCACAACCGGGCCGGCCTCGCCCGGTTCTCGGTCTCGCAGATTGTTACCTTTATGGGAGCCCGATCCGGATATCAACATACAGGCCCCCGAGTTTGGGTGAGGTCTACCGTGCCCCGCCCGAGGTCGTCGTTAAATGCTTGAATCCGAGTCGGGTCCGTATGGATCATGCCGGACTCGCTCTTGAGGTCAGCATTTCCCCCATACTTGTGCGTGTTAGCGTCAGCAGCCGAAGGCACACGTCTTGATTGCATCCATACGCGGACGACACGTGGCGGATTCCTGACCAAGTGTTTGAACAGGCGTGTCGGTTGGCGTTCCCAGGACGCTTCACCTTTTATTTGAATTTTGAATTTCAAAAGTCTGCACACGTGTCCACACCTCGTTGGGTGACCTAATCTATATATACTGGATCTCGGCAGATTTGTAAAACTTTTGCGATTTCAGAGCTTGTATTCTCAAAACTCGTGTTCTCAGAACTTTTGCGATCCCCTCGAGTCTTCCTTCAAGGAATTCTTCGGTAATTTCTCGATCCCTTTCGCAAATTTTATCGTCTTCTCTTCCAATTTTCTTTCTTTTCGATGTCTTCGCTCTTGAAATCTGCCACCGACGTCGACTTTTCGGGAGAGGGCGGTAGTTCCTCCGGCGATGCGGCGGTTAAGGTTGAGAGCTTGGCTTCTCACCCGCCTTCTCCGGCCGCGGGCACTGTTTTCGCGGCGATTCTGATCTCTGTGGTCCGACCGGACTGCTCGACGGCCGCGACCACCTCCAGTGGCGATGACGCCGACGAGTCTCACTCTCCTCCGGCTTCGTTGCGCAGGGGCGAGGGCGCCGACCTGGATAGAGCAACCGCCGCCGATGGGGACTCCGTTGACATCGACTTTCTGGACTTGGACTCTGACGTTGATCAAGACCTAGTGGACGAGACGCTCCGGGGTGATACCGGGGATCGGAAACGTGTCCCCATGGGATTGAGAGACACGGCTACCGATGCCGCCCTTGAAGCCGCGACGATTGCTCCCTTAGGGTTTTGGCGTCGGCCTGAGCGAGTCTGGGCGACTCCGAGCGATGTTGTGGCTTGGGCTTCGGAGTCGATCTTGGACGATGCCGACTTGGCTCAGTAGAGGGGAAAGTACAATTTTGGCCCCGGAGTTCGGATCTTCGCGCTCTACCCCGGAGAGCGGATTCATTGCCCACTGTCGGACTATATCAGGGTCTACCGTCACAACATACAGTTGGGTCTCCGGTTCCCACTGCTCGGCGCGCTGAACGACATCCTCAGCGAGCTCAAGATCGGCATCAGCCAATATGTGCCTACGGTGTTTGCTCGGCTCATGAGTCTGATCGTCATGTTCCGCCGCGAGGGTTGGCCCGACCCTACTGGCGACGAAGTGAAAGCCTTGTTCTCTTTCAAGCGCTCCGGCGACACCGACAACTATTATAGTTTGGTGTTGCCGGGTATCGATAAGACGTTGGTGACAAGCTGCCAGAGACCCTACATGGCTATATGCCGAAGTGGTTCTGGGTCGACGGCGAGTGGAAGACCCGGCACGCGACCCGGCACCCGCCTACGCATTTTATTTCTCATGCCAGTAAGCTCTCTTCTTTT